CCTGGAATATGGATAATAGAATCAATAGAAAAAATAAGAAGAAACCGAAATTTAAAATTAAATAAAAGACGCATTGGAATATTATAAAAGTATATTTGAAACATTTGGAACTATGTTTTATTGACAGTCACTTTGAAGCTGTAGGAGTGAGAAATGATAGTGCTGCAGGTGTTGCTTCTAAAACTACGTAATTGTTTATTTTTTCTAATTTATTTCTTGAATAGATGGAGCTTGGAAAATACCAATGATCGAGAAATAGTGAAATGAAAATGAATGTTGAGTAACGCATAATAAAAATTAAAAATGCTAAATAAGCAGTTAGAACAATGCAGTATGGCCTGTAAAGCTATGAAATGAAATATTTTAAATAATTAAATAAAAAAATATTTACGAAAGGATAAATTAGAAGACTATAAAAAAATTGAAAAGACCTGAAATGCTCTCTAGAGGACATTGCGTCAGCTATACCTATATAAAAGAGGAGCAAAATCATACGGTTTTTTGGAAGAAAGGGAGTATACTGCATCATTGGTATCTTTTTAAAAAATAGGCAGCGTATTAAATAAATTAGAAAACTCCAGCAGCAACAATGGAGACAATATCTATGAATGGATACAACAGGAAAAATGATAAAGTTTTTAAGAAAAAGATTTTGTAGTTTTTACATAAGTTTGCGATCTAGGGCCAAAAATATTGGTTTACGGAAAGAACCTTAATTTCACAAAAGCATTAATTTTTTTTTAATAACGGAGAATTAAAAAGTTTTTGTATTAACTGATACTTCATATTTGAACCAGTATCATCTCACTGATACTGGTTTTGTACAGAGTAATAATATAATTGATTTTTCACCGATATCTGAACTTTTAAATATGCAAAACGGAGATTTAATATTATCGCACAAATTATCACAAATTATCAAATTAGGGAGACACAGGTTGGCATGGGTCCTAGTCGGTTTCACATTTTACTAGCATGTGAAGTTGTAAATGTTAGGAAATGCCCTCTGAAAACATCAAATCTGCCAACAAATCCAACTCTCACCTCTCAGAAGGTAACATAGTTATCTACCGGGTGTCTCCTGGGAAACTTATTTAGTAAGACTGACGAGAGCGGGTGAGAGAGGGCACTAGGCGCTTAAGCTGGGTTACGTTGGTTAGGTCTCGAACGGTAAATCCAGAATAGGCGGTTCCCTGGTCTGCGTCTGATCCCTAAGGGACGGCAGTTTTTGAATTCTGAAAGGAGGTACAAAATGCAAACATGAACCATTTGTACAATGGAGAAAACAAAAGGATTTAGTACCCTTGAGTGATTTAATGACGTGAGTGTTTTGTATAAAATGCAAGTATGATGCAAAACATGCTAGACATAATGGACAAAATTTCTCAGAGGTTGAGCATTTTAGAGACCGAGGGAAAAAAATCGAATACCAAAACACCTGGTAAATAATGGCATGAGGTAATTTTAAAATTGCAAGATGGAATTGCAATGATATTGCAAATAAAAAGGACGTGCTTAAAGTTTTTCTACATACACAGAATATAGATGTACGCCTCGTAACTGAAACATGACCTTGAGAAGCACGATTCAGTTTGCAGACCATAGAATGTACAACTCAAACCACCCTGGAAATGTAGAAAACTTAGGACAGCCAACGTATTGGCCAGCAGATGTCGAGATTTAACAGATTTCTTCATTACAAAACGGATTGCGAAAAACTATATTGCGGTGGATGATAACTATGATCATAACTCCGATCGTTTAGTCGTTATTCTTAAACTTAAGGAAAATATTGTAATGAAAAGAGCAAAAACTGTGCTGACAAATGGAATTACGGATTGGTCAAGATTTCGTTTAGAGATTGAACGACAAATAGATCTAAGGAAAAGAATTAGAACGATCCAGTAGTAGATGAGGGGGCCGAAAATTTTACTAAAATTATTCAAAATGCGGCTTGGAGTAGTTCGAAAGTTAATGATATTACAGGGGGTAGCATTGAATATCCTTTGTATGTACTAGCAAAAGCAAGACAAAGCAGGCCGGCGAGAAGGAGGTGGCAGCAAACGCGTAATCCTACTCATTAAGCAACTAAGACGCTGTATTAGAAAATACAAGTAGGGTTCGGTTGCCAATTATGTTCAAAATTTGACGGCGTGTGAGAAAACCAATTACTCACTGTGAAAGGCAACAAAGAAAATGAAGCAACCTATCAAAACCTCGCTCCTATTATAAACAAAGATGGAAAGCAGGCAAAAACTGACAAAGACAAGGCAAATGCGTTTGAGGATCATTTGGCCGATATATTCTGTCCGCATGACAGTCTGGACGTGTATGAAAATGAGGAATCTGTTTTTATTGAGTATAGCGTGACTATTCCAATTGTCAAGAAAAGAGATGTTACAGAGGAAGTAAGGACTCTTAAATTTAAAAAAGGTCCGGGCTTTGACCTAATAACGACCGATATTTTGAAAACATTACCCAAAAGGGGTATAACGATACTTGCGCCCCAAATAAATGCGCGTATAAAATTTAATTACGTATCTGACATTTGGAAAGTTGCAGAGATAATTATAATGCACAAACCTGAAAAACCTATAGACAGGACCTATAGACTTCTTATCAACCAATCTCATTGTTGCTGATTATTTCAAAACTGCTAGAGAAACTTTTATTGAGAAGACTTCAGCCTATAATTGGAAGTAAAAAGTTAATTTCGAATCATAGAACCTAATAGAAAATTAACTGGAGGGAAAAACAATATGTTCTATCATATTTTTGGACGTAGCCCGGGGCCTCGATAAGGTTTGGCATTGTAGGTTAATAAAAAAACTTAGGCAATTACTACCAACGCAGTATCTTATAGGACTAATAGGATATTTCGAGTTAAACAAGAAGACGAGTACTATTCGCTTAGGGATATCAGGTCGGGGGTACCACAAGGCAGTATATTGGGCCCGATATTATACTTGCTATACACGTGTGATATTCCTGAATCGGAAGGAGGGACGACAGCTACATTTGAAATGAAAATGAATCTACACAAAAATTACAAAAGGCCAGTTTCGAAATCTCAAGATGGACTAGAAAGTGGAATATAAAACTTACCGTTCACAAACACGGTGAACTATTTGGGAATGACGTTGGATGCAAAAGTCAGATGGTAGGAACACTTAAAGAAAAAGAGATCTCAACTCAAGGAGGAATACAGAAAGTTTAAATGGCTTTTGGGAAGGCGTTCTAAGTTGGCAATATATAATAAAGTTTTGATATATAATCAAATATTTAAGCATGTCTGGGCTTACGGTATTCATTTATGGGGCTGTGCTGCGCAGACTCATACTCAATCTATTCAAAGATTTCAAAATAGGGTATTACGGGACATTGTGTACGCACTTGGTATGTCCGTAATGTCGATATACACAGGGATCTCATGATCCTATGTGTCACAGACGAAATTAAAAAGTAAGCAGCCAATCATAAAATGCATTTATCCACACATGTCAACATCGAGGCGGCTCGATTGGTTGACAATCAAAACTTTGTTAGGATACTTAAACGTACAAGACCTCTCGAGTCAGTTTAATGTTTTTTGTATGTAAGTACTTAGTACGCTATTGCGCCAGATCAAAAGCTTGTAAGAAATCAAAAAAGTTGGTTAATAATGGTTAGTTGTTTCCTACTAGTTTTAAAATTTATTTTTGGGTGTTTTTTAGTGGATTAAAGCTCCACACTATTGCTTTTCGTCTGGCAGTGTCTTTCAAGATTTTTTACTCTTCCTCCCGGTAAAAAAACAAAAAATTATCACATCACCCCTTAAATGTAGATGCTGCTAGACAAAAAGTAAAGCATGCTATAATATTATTGTTTATCTTTTTTATAGATTTATATATTTATCTTTTTTATGTGAACGAATAAGACTGTAAAACTTAGTTCTGGAAGAGCATAACCAAATAATTTTGGATTTAAATGAATATGGAATATAGTTGTTGGTAGCCGAAAAATGTTGTTGTCTTTTCAAAGAGCTCTCTTTTAAATAATTTGTTAGTGCTATAACTGCTTTTTATTTGAAAATTCCGGAACGCCATATGCCTTAACAAGAAGATTGTGTTAAAATGATTTGGAAATATTATTTGGCTTTACTTGCTCCAAAGGTGGTTTACATGACCATCCCAGGCCATTGGTGTTTAAGTATAGACTAGGTTGACATTTAAATAAAACCCATGATATTAAAATATTACTAACATATGTACATTCAATAATGTTAATAGCAATTTGAATATTTATATCAATTATTTTTGTGCATTAGTGTTTATATTATTTTAAAATAATTGTATTTTCTTCAAATTTCAGAGCGATCAGATAGTAGTCAACAAGTTAGTAACGTAGAACGGGAATATGGGGTTTTGTGAATTGACCCTTTTAACGGGGAACTCCTAAGGGAGCTATAATACTCGTTTCGTGATGAAATAAATAAAATGAATAATTCGTTTCGTGATTTTCAGAATTACTGTCTGAAAATAATAATAAGATATTGTTTTTGAGGAATTAGAAGAAGAAGCAATTTCTATATATATTAAATTTTTAAAAAATCCATTTTAACATAGATAGATCAAGTTTCAAAGGATGGGCTAAAAAAATTCACTGATACTTTTTGTGATAAACTAAAAGAAAGTGAGAAATTAGTTTTAACTAATAATACTTGTGATAGTTAAGTTGCAAATAAAAAATTTTTAGAACACCATTTGAACAAATCAAAAAGTGTTGAGAAGATGAAACAAAAATGTTTTTCAAAATTAGGTTATATATGTAGAAGAATACGAATACTAAACCAAAAAGTTACAGACAAATGTAATAAAAAAATTTAATTAAAATTATAACATAAAACCACGGTACTTGTATAGTTTTTCTTTCAATCTGTATAGTAGCACTACTTTTATATTATTTTTCATTTTCGAGTCCTATGACGTTACAAACAATTATCAATAATTTTGTACACTTACTTGTTTTTATACGCTATGGTGTGTAATCATGCAGCAGTTTTACTGCAGGATATTATTCTCGTTTTTTTTTAATTTAAATTTTTACTTTATTTTTGCGTGCAATACTTGATATATGATAGTTCCATATAAAATATGAAAACCTTTTTTACGAATTATCCATAATCGATTTTTTTATAATATTTTTATAGATGTAGTATAAATTTTTAATGTATGGATGTTATTAAGTTTCACGTTTTATTTTATCAATGATTTTATTCTTAGAGCAATAAGGTAAAGGTTAATCTATGGAATAAAATATTTTACATGTTGGTAAAATATTATTTACTATAAAATCTGATGAAACAAAAAATGTAGATAAAATTCTATTACACGATAAGTAGTTAGGTCTATAATACGATATTACTTACTCACTTTATACATAAAAATTATTATTTTAATATATTAAATTGTTAGATTACCATAATATCTTTTCTAAATGAATATTTCGTTAATTTTATATATATATATATATATACTAAAAAAGTTTTAATCGAAATTCTTTTTCGAAACAATTTTCAAAACACTTCGTTTTTTCTAATCAGTTGTACTGTAAAAGAAATACACAATTGTTCAATATGACTGTACATTGGAAAAGCGCATGTCATTTTTGTATTTGAAATCAAGTCGAAATTTTACTACAATTAAATGTGTAGAACGTTATTTTTCATCTTTAATAATAAAATATTAGATACATACATTAGAAATGTACAGTTTGTATAAATAAATATGCATAATGACCAACAAGATAAGGTTAATGGAAATGAAAATTTAAATTGTAGCAGTTATACAACATATAATGGATTTCCACCATATACTAACTTATTAATGGACTTGAAGTAAACTGCTATCCCTGCTTTTATTTCTAATGTAATTTTTCATTAGAAGAACCTTTTTGCCTTCACCAAAATTGAAAAATGTTCATGGTTTCTTGAAAATAAATAGTCAAAAAGTGGAATTTTTAGGTCTTTGTGAAGCTATGACACTTAGAGGGGGGAGATAGGTAAAAATTTTCTTATACGGAAATAAATTTCTAGTAAAGACGTTTGCAAATATTAAACTTGAGCTTTCTATCTTCAAAGGTATAGAAGTTTTGTAAACATCTCCACGGAAGGACGAGCACACGGACGAATGGACGGACAAAGTGAAACTAATAAGTACTTTTTTTCAAAAAATTTTTGGAAAAGTTCTAAAACTACAAAATTCAAATGCTGTATTATTCACAAAAAAGTTTTAAAGTTCTTTTTTAAAATTTTTTTTCGTCGAAATATTTTCGAGAATCAGATTTACCAAAAAACAGTCGAGCCGTCCCGATTTATGACGATCATATATATATTAAAATACTCATATATTATGTGGTATATGCACCTCCTGCAATGCTGCTAAGTATAATACTTAAGATTTTATTAAAAAAAAATTATTTTCTCAGTAGAAATTAAATCGCTTTAAAGCAGTAAACTCATCACAAAAACTGAAAATGTTGCTTACTTTTCCTACTCATCATAAAAATACTTAATTTTTTATAGGCAAAATTTTCTTTGGCGGTGAAATGTCCAATGAGACTATGTCTAAAAATAAGAATTTTGGATGGAAAATATTTTTTGTACTGCGAGTCTAGTTTTCATAGGTATACTCATTTCATAGTATTATTTGTAATATCATAATTCTTGTATATATTTTTTTTTTTTCAAAATATTAGAAAGAACCCATCAGGGGACGGAACAAAGTAAGAGACGCTTCAACTTTTGGTAGCTGTATACTTTCCTGGTTCAATGGTTGACCTTGGATCGCGACTTGATTTTACATGCTTTCAGAAGCTCCTTCAAATGGAAATTGCAATAGCCATAGAATTGTAAATCATGAAAATGTCAAAAGGGCTATGTAGTCATTTAAGTGCTTCAAATCGCCTGGGCGATGACCACATCTTTAGAACATCTTTAGAAACAATGATCCGTGTTGTTACGCCCAGCGTACATGATCAAATATATAGCTGCCTTTCAGTTCAAAAGTGAGGAGATGGAGACTCGTGATCACAAATCAACGAGACTAATTCCTTTGTAATCATTAGTCATCTAAACGAAAGAAGAGATTGTGGGAAAGTTCATCAAAGAAACTTCCCTAGTCACGGAGCCTATTAGGCGGACAGAATTTACTAATACGACTCTGCTAAATCTCTAAAGTTTCGAAGTACTTGTATCAAAAAGAGATTACTTGGGCTGTTTTTACAGGTATAGAGCGTGTTTTCAATAGTATATCAAACAGCTCGATGTTGGCTGCATTCCGAAGAAAAGTCGTCAAATTATTTGCTGATGGATTTCCTCAGATGCTGAGGTGCTTGATGTACCTTTTGTAGATGCGCCAGTTGTGGTTAAAACTTTCAGGTGTTGTTTTCAGACGGGTGCTCTTCCACTTCTAATCAAGTCTTTAGTTATTGACGACCTGCTGTCCCAGTCACAAAACAATGGCTTTGTTTGTCAGGGGTACGCGGACTATTTGGTCATCGTTATTAAGGTAAGGTATGGGGGAGCTCTGTTAGATCTCTTACAAGCGGCTTGCACTATAGTCCAACGATGGTGTGTGAGTTTAGATGGCCAAAAAAGCCAGTGAAACTGCATTGATCTGGCACAATAGCGTACTAAGTACTCATTGTTCCAGATAAAAAGCCTCAAACTAACTCGAGAGGTCTCGTACGTTTAAGTCTCCTAACAAAGTTTTGAATGTCAACCAATCGAGCCGCCTCGATGTTGAAATGATTGGATAAACGCATTTTATGATTGGCTGCTTGCTTTTTAATTTCGTCTGTGACACTTAGATCTCACTTATTGTGAGATCCCTGTGTATATCGGCATTACGGACATACCAAGGGGCGTTTACAATGTCCGTAATACTCTATTTTGAAATCTTTGTATAGATTGGATATGAGTCTTAGCAGCGCAGCCCCATAACTGAATACCGTAAGCCCAGACAGGCTTAAATATTTGATTATATATCAAAACTTTGTTGTATATTTTCAATTTAGAACGCCTCCTCAAAAGCCATTCAAACTTTCTGTATTCCTCCTCTAGTTGAGATCACTTTTTCTTTATGTGCTCCTTCCATCTGAGCTTCGCGTCCAAAGTCATTCCCACATACTTCGCCGTGTTTGCGGACGGAATCAAGACGCCATTTATCCGAACCCAAAATGAATTGTCAATTTTCCTATTAGTGAAATTTACATGTACTGATTTCACCTCGTTAAGTTTTATATTCCACTCTCTAGTCCATTTTGAGATCCCATCACTAGCCCTTTGCAATTTCAGTGTAGACTCATTTTCATTTCGTCCAATTGCGATAACTGCTATATCATCAATAAATGTAGCTGTTGTCACTCCTTCCGATTCAGGAATATCACACGTGTATAGCAAGTATAATATCGGGCCCAATGTACTCCCCTGTGGTACCCCCGACTTGATATCCCTAAGCGAAGAGTACTCCTCTTCCTGTTTAACTCGAAATACCCTATTAGTCAGGTAAGATTCGAGCAGGTCAATATACTGCCTTGGTAATAATCACCTAAGTTTTTTATTAATCCACAATGCCAAACCTTATCAAAGGCCTGGGCTACTTCCAAAAATATGATAGATCATACTGCTTTTTCTTCCAGTGAATTTCCTATTAGGTCAATTATTCTATGAATCTGATCTATGGTTGAATGGTTCCGGCGAAAACCAAATTGATGATTCGGGATTAAGCTTTTACTTTCAATTATAGGCTGGAGTCTTCTCAATAAAAGTTTCTGTAGTAGTTTTGAAATCATTGGCAACAAAGAGATTGGTCTATAAGAAGTCGCCCTGTCTATAGGTTTGCCAGGTTTGTGCAGCATGATTATCTCTGCAACTTTCCAAATTTCAGGCACGTAATTGAACCTTATACACGCACTTATTAGGCGCGTAAGCATCTTTATACCCCTTTTGGGTAATTCTTTCAAAATATCGGCCGTTATTAGGTCAAATCCTGGGGCCTTCCTAGGTTTAAGAGCCCTAATTTCTTCTATAACATCTCTTTCCCATGACAATTGGAATAGTCACGCTATCCCCAACAAAAGCAGATTCCTCATTTTTATACACGCCCCGGCTGTCATGCGGGCAGAATATATCGGCCAAATGATCCGCAAACGCATTTGCCTTGTCCTTGTCAGTTTTTGCCCACGTTCCATCTTTGTTTTTAATAGGAGCGAGATGTTTGATAGGTTGCTTCATTTTCTTTGTTGCCCTCCACAGTGAGTAATTGGTTTTCTCACACGCCGTCAAATTTTGAACATAATCAGCAACCGAATCCTCTTTGTATTTTCTAATACAGCGTCTTAGTTGCTGCGATTCACGATTATATCTGGTTTTATCAGCAGGATCATGCATTTGCTGCTACCTTTTTCTCGCCCGCCTGCTTCGTTTTAATTTTGCGAGTATATAGGGGGGATAGTTAATGCCCCCCCTTCTAATAGCACTAATTTTGGAACTACTCCAAGCCGCATTTTGTATAATTTTAGTAAAGTTTTCGGCCTCCTCATCTATGTGCTAGGTCGTTTTTATTCTTTTCCTTAGATCTATTTGTCGTTCAATCTCTAAGCGAAATCTTGACCAATCCGCAGTTCCATTTGTCAGCGCAAGTTTCGCTCTTTTCATAACTATATTTTCCTTAAGTACAAGAATAACCACTGAATGATCGGAGTCAAGATCGTAGTTATCATATACCTCGATGAAATTTTTCGCAATCCGTTTTGTTATGAAGATTATATCTATTAAATCTGGACACTTATTAACATCGGTTGGCCAATACGTCGCAGTAGAGTGAAAAAGGCCCCCCTTGCCGCCAATTTCAGTCCTAAGTTCTCTTCCTCTAGTTGAAGTATGCCTGGAACCCCAATCAGTGTGCTTGACGTTAAAGTCACCCCCCAATATACATCTATCGCCTAGGTCTGTCAAAACGTCTTGAAACATTTCTGCCGTAACTTTAAATCTGGGGTGACAATATAATGCAGCCACTCCAAATTTTTGCTTAGTCGAAGTAATCTGAACCGCTGTCATTTGCATTCCCTCGGTTTGCATCTGGTGCAGATTGCAATGCACTACATTTTCTCTTGACATTCTCTTCACATTCCATTTCCAGGATGGTTCGAGTTGTAAATTCTATAACCTGGAAACCGAATCCTGCTTCTTGAGGTCATATGTGTTTCAGTTACGAGGCACACGTCTATATTCTGTGTATGCAGAAAAACTTCAAACATATCCTTTTT